GGTGTAAATTTTCTTTTGTGATCCACACTATTTTCTTCTCAGATAGAACTGAGAGCTTATACATTCCTCCCTCTGGATTGAAGAGACCACATTGTTGTTTTTTACAAGTAGTGTTTGAGCAAAAATAAATAAATAAGGGGAAATAGTTGTAGATTTTTTTTCTGGAGATTTAATTCTGCCACAGAAGAGACACACCACTCTAAATCATTTTTCCCTAAACTCATCAATCCTAATCCCCTTCTGTTCATGCCCCATCTTCCTTGTCTTTTCCTTCTTGTTTTCCTCCTTGTCTATTAATCATATCTCATCTATATTTTTTAATGACTCCACTGTGAAAAGTAGTAACCTGGTTGAGCAAACAGATAAGGAATGGAGGTAGACATGAGTGAGATGAGAACAGATGGATAAGTAATAGAGCAAGTCCCACAATGTGAACTTGTGGTCAAAGAGTTAAGGAAAATAGATTATTTTTCTCTTCTTGTCTGCCTCCTGCCTTCTTCAAACCCGAAACATGGTACTCAATATCTTAGAGTGTTATTTATCTTGCAATAGATAAGTTTAAAAACAGAGGAGTGGATAGCAGTTTGTGAGCTATTACAATAATCCTAGTGGTAGAAATGATGGAGTAGTTGCAGTGAGTGTGGAAATAAGTGGTGGGATTCTGAGTATATTTTGAAGAAAAAGGCAAGACTTTCTGAGAAGTTGGACAAAAGATAAGTGATAAAGAGTCATAGACAACATTAAATGGACCTGCCATAATCTAGGATAGGGAAGAGTGAAAGGGAGCTGGGTGTTGAAAGTGGGGGCAGATTTCAGGCTCGGTTTGGGATGTGCGAAGCTACAGCTGTTAGCAGGAGAGCTTTTGTTTTCATCGGAGTTCAGGGGAAAGTCTAGGCTAGAGATGGAGATTTGGAAATCATTAGTGCAACATGAGTATTTACTTAGGAGAGATGTATAGATAAAGGGGTTCCAAGAACTGAGTCTTAAAGCAAGCCAAAAAGAGGATGGGAAAATAAAGAGGGCCAGCAAAAAGAGACTGGGGCAAATCTATACTCAGAAATATATAAGTCCTTGTTTTAATTGTATTTTGGTTAGCAATTAGAGCTTATGACTTGAATGTTACTTCATTATGTGCTTTATATTTTTTTAACAGCTCCAAAATACGACATGGCTAGTAACAACATACACAGAAACATGTGAGGATGGGGGTGTGGATGTGCATTCTAATGAAAATAATACCAAATATATTCAATTACCTTATTTAAATAAATATATTAAATTACATATATAGAACACTTTAATTCACTCAATAGGAAAAAAATTTTTAAACTAATTTAAATTTTCATTATCTGTGATTTACAGTACTATTTATATTCTATAAAATATTTTGTCTTTCTTCCAGAGTCGTCTGATTAATAGTTGACTCAAGTGTTTGGAGCCAGTTTAAATTTCATACTGCTATAAAATGAGTTTAGCTATATTCTTTTTATCTAGATAATTAAATTATACTTATTACTTTCCATTTAAGAAGCTATAACTGTTAAAATATATGACATGTTTAAAGAGTAAGTCACTGAATAGGTAGATACAATTTATGTATACTTAAAATTATTTTGTGAGTGATGATATTTTTTTTCATACCATACTATTTCATACTTTCATCCTGACACCAACGTTGGCTTTTATTATGGAAAATGAATCTTTCCATTCATAACAACTGATGCCTGCTACATAACTCTGCTCCAAAGAGACTGAATTAGGAGCAAGAGGCAGGAGTTAGGACTATATCCCATCATGGTGATTGAAGAATGTGCTGGGGAGAAGAAAGTGAATATACTGGGAGGAAAAAGATGCAATGATGGTGAAAAAGGGTATGAGAGTAAACACTGGTATGAGAAAGGAACCAAAGCAACGTGTGTGAATAAGATGGGATGTAAAAGTAGCCTTGTAAAAGGTACTAAGAACATTAGAATACCTTAAGAAGGAACTGTTTTCAGAGTCCTTGTGTAGCATGATCGACAGTTTGGAGGGGATCTCAGTCAAAACAATGACAGGGAGTCTCTAAAGATGCTCCGCTGTCTCCCTGCTTTGGGATCTCCGATGGTGCTTATCACAAAGGCTACAGCCTACTAAAACAGAATCTCTTGATGTTGCCAAGGAATCTACATTTTTTCATAAACATTGAGGTCCTGTCCTCAGCCCGAAGGGAATCTTACTATGACTGCTAAAATTTGAGCACCATTCAACTAGGGTATGAATAAAGAACATGTGCAGAAAACATCTTAGAAATGTGTGCATTGGAATAGAATGAAGTGGAGACTGTCAGGGAATTTGATAATGAAAATAGTAAGTAATATTCAGTAAAACAGTAACAGTGAACTTCTTGGAAAGAAGAATATGAGTAAAGGAGGAAGGTAATAGAGATGGAAGGGATAGAAGCGAGTGTATGAGAGGGCAGAGAAGACACATTCAGAAAGCAGTCAAATGAAGAGAGAGATGGAAGACCCCACAAGGCCATAAGCATTGTAGCTTTCCAAAGGCTAAGGCATGGGAAGCCTGTAAATAGCCATAAGAGGACACCAGGAAGTGAACTCTGAGGCCAGAATAGCAGACCTGCAAAGAGGGATCACACAGCAGCTACCACATGGCTCTGCATTGGGTCTGTAAGTAGGTCCTGCCTTCTGCTCTTGGAGCTGCTCGGTATCAAACGTTGTTCAAATTCTGGGGACACATCTGTATCTTTAGAGAATCATTTTCTTTGCAAAAACAACATGAAGCCATTTGATTTGTTAAAGTCTGTTATGGATTAAACTTTATATCCAGTCTGAGTTCATGATTTCTTTTCTAAAGTCCTTCGTATACTCCTGCATGAGATCTGTCTCAACCGCTCAAGAAACCAGAAAGAGACAGCAAGAATTGACAAGGACTGCTGATTCCTTTCCCCTCCTTGCAATTGTTAGTTTTTATTTTATTTATTAGACAGCTTCTTACTCTATCACCCAGGCTAGAGGGAATGGCCTGATCTTGGCTCACCGCAACCTCTGCCTCCCAGGTTCAAGCAGTTTTATTGCCTCAGCCTCCTAAGTAGCTGGGACTACAGGTATGTGCCACAACTCCTGGCCAGTTTTATATTTTTAAAGTAGAGATGGGGTTTCACGAAATTGGCCAGGCTGGCCTTGAACACCTGACCTCATGATATGCTGGCCTAGGCCTCCCAAAGTGTTGGGACAACAGGCATGAGCCACCACGCCCTATTTTTTATTTACTTTAACTTACGTTAAGATAGACATAATAGGAAATTAAGGTATGTTTATTTGAATCCCTCACTTCTGACATTTAAAAGTCTACAGGTAAAAAATCGAGAGCAAATATTTTTAAGTATCATAAACTAGAATGTGTTTCATAGCCTTCATAAACCCGACACCTTCATTGACTTCTTGTTCAATCTTCTGAATACCTCAAACCTCAAAGGTCATTTCTTTTAAATATTTTACTAAATAAATAAATAAAAGGGATATTCATTATATGTTTGCCAAAAAATATTGTTTCCTTAAAGATTCTGATAATTTTCCCCTCAAAAATCACTAGTGTGAAAGGAATAGAACAGAGAATGCTTCCTAGATGTCAGTTTTTCTTAATGGTGTCTGAGGTTTCAAGATGAGAAATAAAATTATGGAATTTAAATAACTGAGCTGGTAAAAATGTGGCAGACATATTCAGTAAATACTCAACATAGACTGCAAGGTTTTATGAAAAAATGTCTTGACATTTTGGTATAATGAGAAGTAAGCAAGTTTACACCAATCTTGTGAATGCACGAGCCATTCCTTCCCTCTGGCAACTGTTTTGCTGTTTTGCTGCTTTCCTTCTGGCATGCCTCTTCCTAATGAAACTGATCAAAGATTCTTTCCCCCTAAAGAATCCCTACTCCTATAACCTGCTAGATGATGATTATAAAAGTCAATAATTCTCAAGCCTATAATCCCAGCACTTTGGGAGGCCAAGAGGGGAGGATTGCTTGAAGCTAGGCATTCAAGACCAGTCTGTGTAAATATCATGAGACCCAGTCTTTGAAAAATGTTTTTTAAAAATTTAGCCAGGTGTGGTGGCTCGTACCTGTAGTCCCAACTACTCAAAATGCTGAGGTGGGAGAGTCACCGGAGACCAAGGGTTAGATGTTGCAGTGGGCTCTGATTGTGCCACTGTACTACAGCCTGGGTGACAGAGAGATTCTGTCTCTTAAAAAAAATGAAAGTCAGTAACTCTTTAGCTAATAATCAGTTTTAGATTTCTTTGTATGTTAAATGCAAAACCACAAGAACAAAAAGTCTTGTGGTAAAATAACACCATGGAATAGCATTCTACTACTAATGGCCTTTTTTTATTAAATAAATTTGTCCATGTGCCCACGTGACATTAATTTTCTCTTCATTTCTCAGCTATTAAAATTCAGTCCTTCCCCACCCCTCACCTAGTACCATGGGGGAAAATGTAGGTAGGAGGTATTAAATGCTATCTCTATGCCAATCACAATTTTAGGCACTTGATATGAATGACTTCTAATCATACCCACTTCATAAAATTGGATAATTATTCTCACTTGCTGATGAGGAAGAAGGCTACCCAAGGTCACCCAGCTAGTTAGTGACAAGTCAGGATTTAAGTTGGCTTGAATATAACAGCTCACTTTTTCCACTGGCTTATGTGGCCTCTAGTTCACTAGAAAACTAATTTGACTTGACATGATCATGTCAAGTATTAGTATTACTTTTTCCAGTGTGTTAGCAAAGACAATATTACTTTACCTAGTCTTAAAAAGTGTTTTTGTCACCTTACATAAAAACTGTTAGTGCAATAATAAAAATCTCTTAGCACAGTTCTTATCTGATCAGTAGGAAAGAGTGATACTTGGAGTTGGGTTTATCATTTGCCATCTGGTATTAAGGGCTGCACATTCATTATGCTGTTTGTGTAACTTACTTTTATCTTTGTTGTTGCAGTACTGGGTACCAGTTTATTTACTATTCACCTGAAAACACAGCCAAAGCAAAAGAAGTTCTCAGCAACATCAATCAACTACAACCTCTTATAGCAACCCATGCAGACCTACTGCTTAATTCTGCAAGCCAGCATTCTCCAGACAGCTTGAAGAATTCTTTAAAGATGCTTTCAGAAAAAGTAAGATCCAAATCATCACTACAGTTGGGAAAATGAAATACTCAAATCCCCATTGGTATGACTTTCTGCATACATTGCCTTTCATAACATCCGGAAATGTAAAGTAGAGTAGGTTAAAAACTAAGCTTCAAAGTATTGCCACAGGATCAAAATGAATTGGTCGCATTCTCTGTTCAAATCTTACTGAGCACTCTCTTTTTTTTCTTAGTAGGAAATGAAACCTATTATTGGTTGGTATATATCTTCTCTTTTCCTTGGCATCTTTCATTTTCTTTGGTTTATGGTCTTATTAAGTGAATTAAATTAGATTTTGAAAATTACTTTATTTTCCTCTGGTGATCACCTAATATTTAAGCATATAAAGCTTTATGTTTGAATAGGAATGCCACTTCATTTGAAGGCAGAACTTTGATGTGGATTTATATCAGTCTGTATGGGGTACTTCCTCTGCCTCAGTTCGTTCTCTCCAACGTTATTTACTGAGAAAAGCTTCTAAAAATTTCCAGGTGTGTTAGTTATTTGAAAAGCAGTAGACTCTAAGCCTTAGTTTTACCAAAGGTGATTTGTTCCTTTATCTTCAGAAAGGAGAGCTAGTCTGGCATGGGGTAGACACCCCATATCCACTTCCAGAACTAACTAGGGCAAATAGCTGTGTGTTAGACCGAGAGCTGAGATAGAAAAAGACGACAAGTGACAGCTTGATCTTCAATGTAAAATCAGTGTCCTGGAGTAAAACCAATGTGTGCATCCTTAACCTTTGCATTTTAACGAGATCATGTAATTTTTTTATGAGACACTTTCAATAAATATGACTTTGATAAAACCAACCAAAGAAAATTATCATAATTGTAGAATAAGACAAAAGTGTAGTTTTCCACCTCTCTGAAGAAAAATTCATAGAAACCTGGATTTTATGTATGTCCATACTTTTTATTCAGATATGTTAATTTATAATAGTAATATCTTATACTTATTTAAATGTTTCAGTTTAAATTATACATTTTTATGTTATTTTAATAGGAGAAAGCATATCTATTTTTGTGAAAATCTATTCAGAAAGGTTTAGTGAATTGTCTAATAAATTAAAAAGTGAAAAAACAAACTCAGAACTTCCAGTTCAAAATGCAGCATTCCTTTCAAGCCAGAACACATGCTTCCGTCGTGAAAAAGGAGGAAAATATTGACCCAAATTTTCCAGGTTCTTACTTTGCATCAGATAGGGCAAGGGGCTTCATACTTTATGTCATTTTATTTAGTCAGTATTATGGAGAACATATTATCTTCTTTTCACATAGAAAAAGACTAAATAAAGCTCAGAGAAAATATAAAAATGTGAAAAGTCATGCAGAGTTGAATACAGGATTCAAACAAAACCAGGGTTCAAACGCTGGTCTGGATGACTCTAGAACGGAAGTTCTTTCTGCTGAATGTCAGAACACCGAAGAATTCTGATATTCAATAAGTATGTTTTTATGGCTAGGGGAAAAGAAAAAAAGAGGAGGTTGTCATCTACAGTAAAATAATATAATTTCATTTTGGTTCATTTCTTTTTTGGATTTATAGATGAGGTGAGGTGTTTCTGGGTTCACCTAAGCTGAAAATTTTAGCAAAGAGCATACCACTGCAGTGATTACAGAGAAGTATTCATATTCTTCTGTGCACTGGACAGGGATTCGACATTTCATACACCATTTACAACTTGCTGCAGTGATTTTGGTGGTGAGGGGAGGTTGGAATGGCCATTTTCTTCTCCTTGAATCCAGCATTATGGCAACTTTTCCCCCTATGTTTTCTCTTTTCTACTGAGTAGACAAGCTTAGTCAACTAATAAATCTTTCAGTCCTTAAAACTAGGAGGATCTTTTTTTAAGTTAAGTTTGCAAGCCATGCGTTCTTTTAAGAATTCATGTCTGGAATTTCAAAGAATTATCTAAGTTAACAGTTTTGTATAGTCTATGAAATCTGTTAGTAGTTCATGGTTTGGAATAAAGTATGATTCTTGAATTCAAACATGAAAGAGAGATAGTTTTAGTGGTGTCCTAAATTTAAATATAATTTAATATTATTGGCATGTAAGCTTTAAGAGATTTGTCTTTAAGTTTTGGGCATGTTGTATACTATGGATTATAAAATAAAAGTGTTTACGTCATGGGTAGTCCCCTGATTCATTTTACTGATTCAGAACTGGCATATTTGGAAAATAGGTACCTAGAGTTGTTTTCTTAGGGACTTATCCATATAGCATATTCAAGACATTAAGGAGTTAGCTATATTCACACTTATCAGGGAAATGTGTAGGTTTTATAGCCTTTGAGCACTTGAACATGGAAGAGTTTTCTGTCATAGACTTGGGGCACTTGGGGAAGGCTGAGGGCAGCCCAGGGCAGTGAAGGAAGAGGTATTCTATTTTGTGATGAGATGGCATCTCTCCTTTTAGGGAAGCCATTGCACCTGGAGACAATAGCCATGAAATAATTATCAATTAAACATATACTCAGAGTCTGTGGGAAAAGCAAGTGGGAACAGAAAAACTCAACTTGCTAAGAGGGCATACTCTAGGAGTCTTGGAGTAGGCAATATTTGTAGATCCAAAGGCGATTCACGTCATTTTTCTGTTTTGTTTTGTTTTTTAACTGTACTTTAGGTTCCTGGGTACATGTGCAGATCATGCAGAATTGTTGCATAGGTACATACATGGCAAGGTGGTTTGCTGCCTCCATCCCTCCATCACTTATATCTGGCATTCTTCCATGTTATCCCTCTTGAACCTCCCCACCCACTGCTGTCCCTCCCTTAGTGCTCCCCAACAGATCCCACTATGTGATGTTCCCCTTCCTGTGTTCATGTGTTCTCATTGTTCAACACCCACCTACGAGTGAGAACATTTGGTATTTGGTTTTCTGTTCCTGTGTCAGTTTGCTGAGAATGATGGTTTCCAGATTCATTCATGTCCCTACAAAGAACATGAACTCATCCTTTTTTATGGCTGCATAGTACTCCATGGCGTATGTGTACCACATTTTCTTTTTCCAGTCTATCATTGATGGGCATTTGGGTTGGTTCCAGGTCTTTGCTATTGTAAACATTGCCACAATGAACATACGTGAATTCACATAATCTCTACTGCTACTGAGAACCAAGGCACAGGGATAGGGCCACCAGCCAAAATACCATCCATCTAAACACCATTGGTAGAGACACACACAATTTATAAATGGTAAAAATAAATCCTGAATTTATACTATTTGACAGATACTGTGCTCAACACAAAAGGTAGAAAAAAATAAAACACATGTCTTTATTCCCAGGAAGTCTGAGACTCTTGATAGTAGTGGTTGTGATGATGATGAAGAGATGGTAATAGCTAGCATTTATTACTGGCTTAATAACTATGAGACACTCTTCAATTTTCAGAGTTCCATGTGATAGATAATATTATTTTAACATTAAATCTTCCTAATTCTATGAAGTAAGTATTGTCAGTAGCCTTATTTTACACAGTTGAGGAAACTGAGGCACAAAAATATGAGATAATTTGCTCACAATCACACACCTTGTGTTTTTGGCTCCAGATTCTGTGAGCTTGACCAGTGTACTGCATCTTCAGATTGCTATATAGATGCTTGTGCATAGGACTAAGGAAACAAATGTGGGGGCAGGGAGAGAGTACCACAAAAATTAAACAAAAATGAATACTTTTAATGTTTCATGTTCTAATATGCACAAACTCAATTAAATTGTGTCATAATTTTTAAATTTTTAGTATATCTTCTTTTGGATAATAGGGTTTGGCAGCTGCATGTTAGTTCATGACAATATTAAAGTAATAATATAATCTTATTGTGTAAGAGTCTAACAGAAGGCAAGCTGAGTTTGTCTGAATAATTCTAACAAAAAAGATAAAAGAGAGACCAACATTTTAACATATAGGTTGAAAGGTTAATAATAGATTGAGATAAAAATGCATTTCCCTTTTTCTTGGACTAAAAGTATGCATTTCTTTTTTTTTTTTTTTTTTTTTGAGACGGAGTTTCGCTCTTGTTACCCAGGCTGGAGTGCAATGGCACACTGCAACCTCCGCTTCCTGGGTTCAGGCAATTCTCCTGCCTCAGCCTCCTGAGTAGCTGGGATTACAGGCATGCACCACTGTGCCCAGCTAATTTTTTGTATTTTTAGTAGAGACGGGGTTTCACCATGTTGACCAGGATGGTCTCGATCTCTTGACCTCGTGATCCACCCGCCTCGGCCTCCCAAAGTGCTGGGATTACAGGCATGAGCCACAAAAGTATGCATTTCTATAAAGGAAAAACAAATGAGGGATAGATAAAATAAATTCAAACTAAAATAAATAATGTCTTTAAAGGCCTGAATGTGAACAGTGTATAGGTATCTCCATAGCTCAGAAATCTCTGTGATATTAGCATTCAAACACCCATCACTTTCTCTATTCCATTGAGATTGATAGACCTGGTTTAGAAAGTCATTATTATCTTGCTCATCAAAAAGCACTATTGAGCACTTAATTGTGTGTGGTATTGTACTTGATGCTACATGACAAATACTACATAGACATGGCTTTTAATTTTTACATTCTAAGAATTTAAAAGAATGGGGTTGTTTTACAATACTGCAATGGCTAAATAGTTAAAATAATAGGTTTTATTGCAAATATTTGAGGCTATACTCACAGCATATTTGAGAAATTCTCTTAGCTTCTAATTCCTACTATTCTTTCAGCCTCAATATGCTATACCAAAACATTCTATTATATTTAAAGGAAAATAAAAACTGTTGTGTTCTCAAACATATACAGTCAAGATTTTCTCAAGAAACATTTACTGTAATAGCAATGCCAGGCAGCTAGTGTGCTAAGAAGTTGAAGATACACGTAACGGAGAGAGGAACGTTACGTTGATTACTTACGACTGAAAATGATTATTCTTTTATTGTTTATTCAGTGTAACCACTCCTAGATCTAGCCCAGTCTCAAACTGTGGGAAA